TACTTCAATACTCTGAATATGAATGTATTTAGTTATAATTATTACAATTATTTAAATAATTTTTCACGAAACAAATTAAAAATTTTTTATTTGAAAATTAATTTTTTTGTTAAATACAGATAAAATTAAGAAAAAATAGTACTTTAAAATTATAATTTTTGAAAAAAAATAAATTGCAAATTGATAAATGTAATCTAATTGATTAAAAATAAAAAAGGGGGTTAACTTTAAAAATTTACTGTGGCTGTCCTAATCAACCGATTTTTTCTATGTAAAAAAATGTTCAAATATTTAGATACTTTATTTGAGGCTGTGCAACATTTTGAACATTCGAAACAATTTTTTCAAAAAATTATTTTGCGAAAACTATCGAACCGATTTTAATGAAGTTTGGTGTATTGTTTTATTATACTTTAAAGTTCTTTTAACCAAAATTAGGATGCCCTCGGAGCAATTAAAATATTTTAAAAAAATTATCTAAAAAACTTGATTATTTTGCCTTTTTTTCATCAATTATTGCTATTTTGCAACATCGGTAATAAATTTAAACCTTTTTAATTTACAGTATACTGTGCAAAATTCAATTCTAAAACTTATTTCCTCTTAAATATTCTTCCAAAATGCATAGGTTCCAACATATACGTAAAAACAGTTAGATAAAATAGGTATTTTTTTAAATTTTTTAAACATTTTTGAAAATGTTCCGGACCTCGCCCAGATCTAAGGATCTACACTTTTATTATGTGAGTTGTACTGAAGGTAATCCAGAAAAAAATTGCTCACATCCACCTCAAAAAAGATCCACCCTGGTCCATACATCAACATAATTATTCCTCATCACATAAGAGTATACAGGGTAGGAAAGTACCGATGGTCTAATAAGATCCACTTCTTATTTGTGGAAGGGCGAAATGGGCGTTGACTATTAGACGCCTTCATTATAGCCATCCTTGTCTATCACATGGATTTCTATGGCTTACTTTATCCCTCTCACGTAACTTCTGATAGACCATCGGTACTTTTTAGGTTCCTTTTCCATAAGAGCCACGCACTTAATTCTCAACGAGAAATCACCCCCTTAATCCCTTGGCGTTTATTTATTTACACCCTGTAAGAAAACAACCAACGCCAGACGCTCTCTATCACTTCCATCTTTCCCACCGACCTATCTCTTAAATAATACACAATGTCCCGACTCACCTCGTGTGACCGTAGAAGTAAAGCACGATGCTAGAGGCCAGAACCAATAGCGTTGATAAAATATACATGGCAAACGTCACTTGCGAGTTGAGCAAAAATGGCGTGGGGTTGCCGAAGTTGTACACCCTCGAGTTGTGTTTCAGGAGGGGAAGAGCCTTCCATACCCCGACGACGTGCACCTGCAAACAATTGAATGTTTAATGGAGATGTTCGCATCACGACATGATAAATAATGCATACAGGCGAATGCCGATAATATAGAAAGGTTGGTAAAAACTGGTAAATGTAGAACATGTTTTAAAGGGTACTAATATTGTAAGAAAACCCACATCATTGCTATTCCCAAAACTTACGAATTTTCCAGACTTACCTTGTACAAAATTGACATGCCTGCGAAGGAAAGCAGCGTGTGCAGCCCATTTATCAGGAGTTGGAATGAAAAAATCAACCCTAGACACTTGTTTGTCGACCAAAAAAGCGCTGGGTACCTCACGGAGTATATGACGAGAGCCAGAGCGAGGTTCATGTACTCTATGCTAACGGGGCTGCCCCATCCTGTTTCTGGAACAAAAAGCGGACATTTACAAGGCGTATTTATAAACGAAAAGTTAGAATTCGACCATCCCGGTGCTGAATTAAATCGTGACGGTTCTCCCTTAATTATCCCGAACTTTTTAATTAACATTATTTAGATGAAGAATAAATAAAAAGCGCGGCATCACCACCGTGAGCTGTTCAGCTCTGTCTGGATTAAGTTGGTGCTTTGTTCCGGAGGATTTTTTGCTTTTTAAAGTCCTTTATGTGCTTGGAAGGTGGATTACTGTACTGGATATTCCGCCGGTAATTAAAAAATCATTGTTAATGAATGCATGTTCAAATAATACGTAGGTACCTACATAGATATTATAAAACTGTTGCGGAAGCTAAGCTAATAGTCCAATTAAATGGGCCTTTAAATTTTGGTCAACTTGCCTGAATTTTTTATGTAAGTTAGTTTGAGGTATACAGGGTGTTTCAGGATTAAGTCGACAAACTATAAGGAGATATTCCTCATAAAAAAATAAGAAAAAAAATCAAGTATAAATTTTTTTCCAGAGACGCTTCATTTTCAAAATACAGGGCGTTAAAGATTTTTAAAAAAATCGAATTTTTTAAATAACTTCTAATGAAGAAGGCTATTTAAGCCAAATTTGGCATGACACATCTTATAAGATAACATTTTTCCATAGAAGTAGAAGTCCCGCAAGCAACCAGTGGCGGAGTTATGGGGACTCATTAAATTATAAAAAAAAATATTAATACGACCCTACTGAAAATAAAGAATGATACTGTTTTTAGATAGAACAGTGTGTTATTGACAAAATGTGTACATTCACTTTTTTTCTAACTCTTATAGTTTCATGGCAAAATTGATTTCTCGGAAGGGTGCTTCTGGATTCTGTCGATAAACTTTAGGAAGACGTTCCTCATAAAACCTAAAAAAATATAGTACCTATTAAAATTGGTCTTAGTCTCGAGTGTGTGACTCAAATAAGCCTTTTTGTCTCCCCTTCCCTTGGGTTTAACCAATAGTATTAAAATTATTTAGGAGATACTTCATTTATGAGATATAGGGTGTTTTTTTTTTAAAAAAAGATGTTGATGAAAACAATAGAAATATTTAAGTACCTAACATCTAATGTGATTATGTCGTAATGCGACAATGTAACGACCCTTGCAATACTCCTGAATTTGTTCAGGCGGTTTGTAGTCATTTCATTTACTTGTGTTGTGTACTTTTAAATAAAATAAGATGGCAAACAATACATGAAAATTTATTTGTAAATTGAAACGACCAAAAATTACCAATTAATATTATATCTAGACAAAGCGAAAAGTGAATAAAAATAAAATGATTTAAAAAATATTTTGTTCAAAATGGGCGCCTCCGGACTGTAGACAAGCACGACATCTTCTAATTATAGAGGTAATGGCCGATCGACACTGAATTGGAGTTAATTCTCGACACGCTTGGACTATTCGCTGTCTTTCAATTTTGCCATGAAATTATAAGAGTTAGGAAAAAAAGTGAATGTACACTTTTTGTCAATAACAAACTGTTCTATCTAAAAACAGCATTATTTTTTATTTTCAGTAGGGCCGTATTAATTTTTTTTATAATTTAATGAGTCTGAGTCCCCATAACTCCGCCACTGGTTGCTTGCGGGACTTCTACTTCTATGAAAAATTGTATCTTATAAGAAGATGTGTCATGGCAAATTTGGCCTTCTTCGTTTAGAAGTTATTTAAAAAAATTCGATTTTTTTAAAAATATTTAACGCCCTATATTTCGAAAATGAAGCGTCTCTGGAAAAAAAATTATACTTGATCTTTTTCTTATTTTTTTATGAGGAATATTTCCTTAAAGTTTGTCGACTTAATCCTAAAACACCCTGTATAATAACAATAAGTAACAGTATTTTTTTTTCAACCTCCAACGGCGAAAAAAGAGAAAATGAAGGGGTTTTTCAAGATAACTCAAAAGGGCTAAGAGCTAGAAAAAAAATATATCTATTCCTCTTATAGTCCAAGCATTCTGTCACGGATTAATGTTAAATTTGCAGAAATTATTACCTGGACAAAAAAAATATGACCGTATAGAAAATTAAATTTTAAATTGAGTTTCTTGTTCTTTAAACTCGATCCAATATGGCGAACATGGTTAAAAAAAATCGCAAAGTTGAAAAAAACGGTTTTTCTAAAATAACTAAAAAAATATAGCACGGATTGAAAAATTTTAAATGAGAAAGTTGTAGGTTTTAAAAAGATCTATCGACTGATTTTTTGAAAGTATCGATTGCTTTGTTACTTTTCGAGATATATCGAAAAAACCGTTAAAAATCTTCTCTTTTCTCTTCTTCTATAACTCGTTTACATTTACGTGCCCATATTTGCTATTTACTGCAAGCATAGCCCGCGGCAAGCCAAAAAAGTACATTTTTGAAAAATTTAAAAATATTAATTATTTTTCGAGATATATCGATTTTTTGAAAAAAAGGCGCTCTCGAAAATTGGCTAGATCTTCTCAGCGGATAGCCCTACAGTAACGATTTTCGGTTTATTTTCTTCGTAAAGAGTTATATTATCATGCTGTTAAAAAATGTTGACGATTTTATTAATTTTAAGGATCAAAAAATGACTTTGAATAAGTTGCACTTTTTTGGGTATGTTTTTTTCAAATTACTATTTCAATTTTTATTTTATGAAAATGACTTTTAAAGAAAGAAAACTAAACATTTACGGGTCTATTTTGCTTCTAAGGCGAAAATGCTATAATATTCGTGTTTAGCTACCCCAGATTAAGTACAAAAAAATAATAAAAATTGAAATAGTTATTTGAAAAAAACATACCCAAAAAAAGTGCAACTTTTTCAGTCATTTTTTGATCCTTAAAATTAATAAAATCGTCAACATTTTTTAACAGCATGATAATATAACTCTTTACGAAGAAAATAAACCGAAAATCGTTACTGTAGGGCTATCCGCTGAGAAGATCTAGCCAATTTTCGAGAGCGCCTTTTTTTCAAAAAATCGATATATCTCGAAAAATAATTAATATTTTTAAATTTTTCAAAAATGTACTTTTTTGGCTTGCCGCGGGCTATGCTTGCAGTAAATAGCAAATATGGGCACGTAAATGTAAACGAGTTATAGAAGAAGAGAAAAGAGAAGATTTTTAACGGTTTTTTCGATATATCTCGAAAAGTAACAAAGCAATCGATACTTTCAAAAAATCAGTCGATAGATCTTTTTAAAACCTACAACTTTCTCATTTAAAATTTTTCAATCCGTGCTATATTTTTTTAGTTATTTTAGAAAAACCGTTTTTTTCAACTTTGCGATTTTTTTTAACCATGTTCGCCATATTGGATCGAGTTTAAAGAACAAGAAACTCAATTTAAAATTTCATTTTCTATACGGTCATATTTTTTTTGTCCAGGTAATAATTTCTGTAAGCATTTCTCTATAATGCTTGGACTATTAACTTGTTGACCAAATTGCGATTTAAAGGACCATTTAATTGGACTACAATACTTTAAAGACAATGTATTAGCGTGACATAAATCAGTCCTGTAAATTGTATACATTTTTGAAGCATTTTTTCTAAGTGAACTACAAAATCCTAATTTTTTGATAAAGGTAGGTTAGACTAAATTAAGAAAAATAGTTTATTTACAAATTAAGCAAGAATGTTAATTTTAATCAATCTAGAATACAGCCAAATATTTTGTTATTACCTACTGTCAGTAAATGATAATTTAAGTACAAAATTGAAATCGATGTTTTCTTCTTACGAGGTACAGCGAAGTACAATATACTAGAATTTAAAAAATATTAGTGCTTTTTCAAAATCTCTGCCAACAAAAAAATACAGGGTGATTCACAAATGCTAACCAAAAACCCTCGTATTCTTTGGTGAATTTTAAGGGCAGTATTTCCTATAAAGTTTTTATCTAGGACGCTTCGTTAAAAAGATACAGGGTGTTAAACTTCAAAAAATATCAAAATATGGATCACCCTGTATCACAACGAAAAAACAAACGACTGTTTAAGATATTCTTGTAACCTCTATGTTTTAGACAAAAAATAAGATTAGGTATATTGATAGATAACTCCAGTAAAAAAAAAATATTGAAATGTATTCAGTTGAGTTATTGTAAAAAAATTAACAACTAAAAACTTTCTCTCACTGTGACGCGACAGTTTCGTTTTTATTTTTTAAATTGTTAATGTACAACGTGGTACTCGTAGAATACCCGAAAGAAGAAATCTACCTCACATTATATCCCAAAAGTTTACAAAGGGTTTCAGTAAACACCATTTTGGCTACACCAACAAGTAAGGTTAGTTAGTTAAGTAAATTTACCCACACTGGCAGACGTGTTTATTATGGCATTTAATTAGTACTTTACTACGTCTCTTTCTAATATATCCCGCACAGAAACGGAGAAACTTCCCTGGAAATATATCCGCGACACTAACCTTCCTGGGACACAATGATATGAAGAAGTCGAGCAGCCTGTACTCAAAACTCCTTCGCTTTTGATGAGTTTAGGGTTGAACGGGCCAACCCTCAGCTTAATTAGAATGCGCCCTTAACGAATGTTTCTCGCAAACCCGTTAAAATCTTTGAACATTTACATAAACATTATTAATTTACATCTGGACCGTAAAACTGAATTTTAAAACTTTCAGTCGACATTAAACCTCATTCAGTGAAAAGCCAAAGGTTGCGCGTTTGTTGTGTGTACGCCATTATCTTCTCTATTGATCATGGAGGTTCGCTCGTTAAGTCCCTTCAGTCCGGGGTAAAAACTGAAGAGAAAATAGTCGTTATTTTGCTGGAAATCGTAGAAATAAGGGAGCAAAGCGAGTATACTGGCTTGGTATAACATTGAGGTTTGTTTTGCATTCTCTGTAGACGCTGTAGGCTGTAGGTATAAAACGATGATAATGAGTGTCTGCATTTAATTTTAATGCTCAAGTAATATTGGATGCTTTAGTGCGGAATTAAAGAAAAC